CTAAATCACATCTGTCCCCTTTGACATGTGCCGGGGATCGGTGGTAATTAAGATGAAACGGGATATGTCGGGAGTGAGGGGGTTTGTGCGAGGGCGGCAGAAGGGAGGAGAGCGGGGCTCAGCACCGCTCCGCTCTGGGGGGAGCCCCGGGCGCCCCCGCACCCAGCCCAGCCCCGGCTGCAGGCACAGCCCGGCCTCCACCCGGCCCCGCCACCCCAGGAAGCGTAAATCCCGGCTGGTGATGGCACACAGAGATAGAGAGACCTCAGGGACCTGTCTGAAATCCATAAAGGAAAACCACTATTTCCTAGAGGAAACCCCCCTCGCTATCAAAGCCTGGAGGAGGCATCCTTCAGCAGCAAACCAGTGCCTGATTCAAAGCAGCTGTACCCAAATCATCCCAACTCTCCCAGACATGGTCAGGCCAGCAATCCAGCTCTGCAAAGGGGACAGGCCCCGGCTCTGCTTTATCATTGCCGAAAGGCAGCAATGGGTTTGGGTGCAAGGGTCACCTGTCACCTCCAAACACTCATAGAAAATACTGAGCCATTGGGCCACAGCTGGAGAACTGAGAGTGGAGTTTGAGCAAGCTGTCTAGAGAGCCCTGCCCGTATAACGCAACACCTCCTGAGCCATTTGTGCCTCCATCAGCATTGTGGCACCTTTGGATGGACATAAGCATTTTGGCAGGTATTGTGCCAGCCTTTCCTGCAACATTCTTCTTGTGTTTGAGACCACATCTTTGATGGCCTGAAAATCTCCTCCCTTTTAATTTGCCTCAGACAGTCATATTGTCCTTGTCTGGAGGGCTACATTGACCTTCTAAACGACAAGTTCCATTCATGATTATATACGTGGCTCTAAAATGCAGCCGACTCAGTCCATTTTACCCTCTGGAGACCTCAGCAAAGGGCTTTGTCCTGAAATGGACAGCTTTGTGACTGGTTTCAATAAGTCAAGAGCTCTTGTGTTCCTAAGCATTAAAGAGGATTTAAACTTTTTATATACATATAGGATTAAGTGAACCTCTAGTTCAGTGTCAGATCTTTTTCATTTTTGAAAGAGTTCAATCTCTATCAGACATCTAAGAATTTATTGTCAAGCTTGTCTCAAACACTTCCCACATCGTCATCGTTTTATATTGTTTCGAATAATAGTCTTGTTTCACTTACATGATTGCACTATGATTTTGAAGTGAGCTAGCCATAGCTGTGAAATCCTACTCTGCAGGTAAGCAGTTGTTCGAGTGTATCTCAAAAATTGCACGTGACGGGGAGCAAAAACATATCTCATCATTGTTTCTGTTTCTAGGTATTCTTGAAATAACTGCTGTTGATGTTGGAATCGTTGCCATCAAGGGCTTGTTCTCTGGCAGATACCTGGCCATGAACAAAAGGGGCAGACTTTATGCATCAGTAAGTTTTACTTAAGACTGGCATATGCCTGTCATATCCTATGGGAAGAACAGATTCAGTGGGGAGTACTGTTTTCTTATAAATCATAGAATCATAGAGAAAAGGGTAATGTTATAACAGATTTCTATCTGGAATTCTTACGGGCAACCAATCAGTATGTTTTTAAAAGCGGAAAGAAGCTGTGTTCTTACTTTCTTATTGCCTGTACAGCCAAAGGTGGAAGAATGTATTTGCAAAGGTATTTCACATGGCCAAAGTTCTGGGCAACTGGGTGCACTGATAAAGACCTCAAGAGCCAGCCTTTGACGTGCAGAATGTCCATCTCTATTCAAAATTATCCATATTTATGTTTGATGTGAGTCTTGGACACCGGCAGAGGATATACATGTCAGATAAAGAATATCCAGAAGCAATTGAGCATCTCTGATACAGGAAAGCGGCCTACTGACAGGAGAGCATTTGGTTGGGCAGTCAAAGAATTTACAGGTACTAAAAGGCAGGGCTATAGCAAAGAAAGGAAGTATGAGAAGGTGCAAGAGGATGAAGGTGAAAATAAACACCTTATTCTGCTCTTCTGACATCTTTTTTTTGTCCTGATCTTTGAGGTAAAATCTGGGCTCTACTGATATTAGTCAGAGTCTCGCCTTTTTAGTCCAGCCAATATTTCCCCTCAGTGAATAAAATACTTTAGCTTAGACTTCTTCACATTCAGGGGCACACTGAGGTGTGTTTGTCAGTGTGTATACTATACACATTATCTACCTACTTGAATTTCTTCCATTGTCTTTGATTACATCCCTAGCAATCTTGTGATCACTTACTGTGTAACACCCATACTGTGCAGTTTCTCCAGGAATCCTGTGGTGTGGAAACAGATTTGAAGAGCGTAAAATATATACACACTGTGTCATTGCACATAATTCTCTTGACTTGAACAGCATGATGTATCCTCTAGCAATGTGAGCTTTTTCCATGTGAATGCGACCTAGGTAACACAATCAACTCAGTTGCCTTCCTGGTTTAATGTATTTTACTCCACCTTTTCAAGAATGTTCTGATAGTGTTTACGACCCAGCTTCTGTAATGTGTCTCATGTGATGCACACTGATTAAAGGGCCTGTGTGTAAAGACGATGGTTCGTTGCTTGTGCAGAGAAGCAAATCACAATTTTGGTAAAGGAAAATGAAGTGGAATGAGGACATACTGGCTTTGCTGTGCCAGAGCTAAGGCTATCCGCTTCTGTGCTTCCAGTTAATATACTGATTAAAATGGGCGTCTCCTTCAATGGAGTTCCTCCATCAGTTCAGAGCCAGTGTCTACCCCAAAGAAACTAATGGGAAGGATGAGTTTTTAACTTCTTTCTCATCTTTCTCTCTTTCTTGTTCAAAATAGGTATATTTTTCCTCCAGATTAATTAAAGTGAATTAAAATAAGACTAAACAAATTCTGAGGAAAAAAGCTCCTCTCCTAGAGTGGAGAAAAGCCTGGAGTAAGATAGTCCAGAGACTCCTTTTTCTCCTGGACTTCCCCTTCTAGTATGAGGAGCATCAGGCCATCCCGAAGTTTGTCCTTGTCACATGCCAAGGAATATCAGCCATGAAAGGTTTCTGCACAACCACAGAAGATAATTTTTGCTGTTTCAGCTCAAGTTTGAAAGACACTGTTTCAGACTTGTGGACTTGTGTTTCAGAGCTAGAGGGACAATCTAGGAAAAGCTATTCCACTCTAGCTTTTTTTTTTTTTTTTTTTTTTCACAAAAGGGTAAGGAGAAACTTCCTGGCTTTGCTTACCTAGAAAAAACTGACCAACAACTTTACTGGTGTTGCTGTGCAAGGAACCTGTGCAAAGCCCCTCTTTCAAATAAAATTGACTTCTTTGGGGATAATTTTACAGGGACCACTTTATGAAATGGTACAGGAATAACACCATTATCCCTTGGATCACCAATTTTCCCATGTCAATAAAATGAGTTTGTTGAGTCTGCAGAATTCCTTTGTGTCCTTAGCAGATTGTGATAATCCTCTAGGCTTATCCTCTGTGATAAACCCTCTACAACCAGAAGTGAGGCAGACAGCAGAATAATTCTGCCTACATATGGTAGTTGTGTGGGCTCCAGCACCACTGCATATGAAAACCTTGTTCTTGCAAGGAAAGGCACTTCCGTTTTACAGCTGTGAAGCTGAGACATGTGGAGTCTTTTAAAACCTTGTTAAATGCCTATCAGCATTTCTGATGAGTGAATAGCATTAATGACAAGTTGTTAATGGAGCCTATGGCTTTTCTGGCCCCAGCCTGGCTACCTGTGCCCTTTCCCTGTCCTCCACAGAGGCAACGCTAAATAAAAAAATCTCTGTAAAGACCATGGTAACACTTCTTCTTTACCTCTGTACTTTACACTTGTTAGATACTGAAGTCTTAATCACACAGGTACAGGAAAGATGATTTTGTAGTTAAGAAAAGATGTGTAGTGTGGGAGGTCCTTTATTTCCACTGTTTCTACTGCTCCCAGGGAGAAGGAAGGAGTTCCTCTTACCAGGCTTTTGCACACTGTTTTCTCTCAGTTGAGGACTGGATGAAACGCACAAATTTTGATGGATCATGTAAAACGTGAGCACTAGGGATGGGTGCGTATTCTCCCTTACAGTTTGTGATAAAGGAGCAGCCCAGCATTTTGGAGGAACACACTGGTAGGCAGGGTCTACTTTCATTTTGTTATGCTGAAGAAAACAAAGCACCTTCATAAAGGTGTTGTTTGCTGCTCAAATATCTGTAACAAATTGGATGTAATAGACTGCAGGTCTATCTAACTACTAATATACCAATTAAAGAGCCACATTTTATGTTAAACTGTAGTATTTTACCTTTTTAATAGATGTCAAAGGTTGATTGGCAGAAATTAAATCATCTGTCCAGTTCACAGGCACATTTAGATCCATAAGTACAAAAAAAAAAATTTACAGCTGAACAATCAGCAGAGCTATTGATTCCTATCCACGTGCCATTTTTTGCTTTCAAATTGTTTTTTTACCTCTTTCTGTCTCTGACCCATGGAGTGCACTTACACTGCTGACAGTACCTTGTTGCACAGCAATTCAGGCTCAGCGCTTCTATTCTGCTTGCCTTTCATAGCACCAGTCTGAGATTTTCTTACCACACATGTTGTTGTCCTTACCCTAAAACTGACTAAAGTCTTTCTTAAGATTTTAGCCTAATCTTATTGAGGTAGAAGAGAGCTATTGCCCATACAATTTTTCTTAAACTTTGTCATGTTTGCTTTACAGGAAAATTATAATGCAGAGTGTGAGTTTGTGGAGAGGATCCATGAGTTGGGTTATAACACCTACGCGTCCCGTCTCTACCGGACTCTACCCAACAGAGCCAGCACCAAGCGCAAAGCCAGTGCAGAGAGACTCTGGTATGTCTCAATCAATGGGAAAGGACGACCCAGGAGGGGCTTTAAAACTCGCAGGACACAGAAATCGTCTCTCTTTCTGCCCAGAGTATTGGATAACAAAGACCATGAAATGGTCCGACTGTTCCACACAAATGTGAGATATCGAGAGAGTCTCCTGAAGCCTCTGAACAAGAACCAGCGAAGAAGGAGAGGACGCTGACAGGGGTGGGAGGAGCTTGTATGTGGGCTGGAAGTGACTGAGAGTCTTCAAAATACTACTAAAAAAACTAACAGCTGTGATTGTATGACAGGCATTAACATGGACATTTTTTAGACACTGTATAATATAACTGAAAGTCACATCACTTACTTTTAGCTATTGTAGAATAATATTATCTGTGATAAAAGAGATGTGAGATAAACTAAGGCACACTCAAATGTAAACTAGTTGGATGTAATAATTTTGTTAATGACTTTCACATTTTCTTTTCTAAAAAAAGATAATAATTTTCATTATTAGTATTTTCAATCTACCTTGCCATAGGGCATTATCTCAGTGACTCTGTCCTCCCAGATCATATGAATATTTTACACTTATCAATTCTGTGTCTGCAGAGAAAGCGTAGAACTTTCATGGTTCTTTTGGCAGTTCCTCATAAAAGCCTACATTCCTATTTTTATGGAATACAGGAGTTAGAAAACTGGTTTATTTTTTAACTTACATATATTTATTTTTATTTTATGATCAGTCAGTATCAACTATACTTTTCCCATGACTGTCCCAAAAAAGTACAATTGTAAGCTATTTCAAAGATTTCAACAGACCTACATATTCCTAGAGTATTTTTGAATCTGTTTAATTAAAAATCCAAGGCACCTGACCTTGTCATTCAAATAAATGAATATTGGTAAAGTGGCATTTGCATTGGGCAAGCTTCAGCAATATGTACCTGTTTCCTTATTGATGACTCGTCTCCTAAAATAGTACTCAAATATGATGTGAAAGCTGAGTTTGTGGTGTGGACTGAACTTGCAATATAGGAAAATTCAATGTCGGGGATGAGAATATCTGGTACTTTTGTTTAGAAAAGTTTTCTACAGGAAGTCCTAGTTCTAAGTTAAATATGTTTTAACTATTTGCGGGGGGAGGGAGAATAACAGTCACATTGGGCATATAAAAACTGTAGTGAGTCACTAATTTAAGGTGACTGCTGTGTTCTGATTTTCCTTTGTTTTCAAATGCTTTTTATTTTGACAAGGGAGTCCTAAACTGAAAGCTCTAAATCCAGATGAAGGTTAAGAATCTTCAGTTTTGTTTCAATCCACATAAAAACACGTTTCTATAAATTTTTCTACTCTGATTCTGGAATTTAACTTTTACAAAGTTGAAGGGAGTCCACGTCACAAGTTTAATTTTGAGCAAGGGAGTTAAGCCTTAAAAATTTATCTTCACAGCCAGGAGATGATAGAACAGTACGAAGATTTAGATGTGCTTGACAAGCACAAAAAATCGTAATTTCGATGAGATTTGGCCTTCTACTCTTCACTTTCTAGAATTACGCCCTGGTACAGCATAGCTGCAGAAAAGAGAGACTGCACTGAAACAAACATTCAATCTGAATTTAACAAAAGATCTGTAAGTTAAATATAACATTATATAGAAAGACAGGTGCAAATCCCATTCCTGGCCATATTGAGACAAAGGTCTTCGTGCGGGCTACCTACTGACTAACAGTATGATCATTTAAAGCCAGGTAGTGAAAATCTTCCGTTGCTAAGGGATGGATTCTGTGAGAAAGAGAAGTAAAAGGAGTACATTGAATGAGTCTGCTAAGCCTAGTAGCCATAGGTTTAGCACTGCTTACATCCCTGTAAAGGTAAGACCAGAAAGGTATCTTTATACCAAAAAGTATGTTCCATTCCTTCCACCTTCATATCTTTCCTGTAATATTCTAAGAAGGAAGGAAACTATGTTTGAATAAGAAGGTCAAAAGTCTTTTATTTCTACTTTCTATATACTTAAATAATGTAGAAAGACACTTAAATGATGCACATTAAATAATGCAATGTGATGCACACAGAATAGACCTAAGTTTGAAAAAGGTGCAGAAACCCATGAACCATGTTCCTAAATTTTCTTGCTTTTACAAAATAACTGAAAATAGTGATAGGATCTTTACAGATGTAATCAAGCAGTATCATGTCAGGAGCCACTGAAAAAACTGTGCAATGAGGAAACAGAGACTGAAAAAGAAACAGAAGAACTCAGGTTTTCTGTTTTGTTTACTCTCCTGTAAACTACCCAAGGTCCAAACTATTGCAGAATTCAAGGTGTCTTTTGAAAGTTGGTTGTATCAGTGAAGAAAACTAAGTTTTGCATCCTGGGCACCAGCAGTGTTTTGGGGACACGTTGTTGACTATGCCAGCTACCCTATCTCAGCTCTGTATTTCCCTTCAGGCTACTGGTGGTAGCTGAAGAATTAGACTGGGCAGAAAAGAGAGGGACGTAGGGAGTCCTCATGGCTCTCAAACATCAAGAACAAAATGCAAGGGAAGGAAAGTGTCAGCAAGCCCAGCTGGCAGGGAAAGATCACCTACAGATGAAAATTAAGAGAGCTAGTTTTCCTCATCTCTAATTTCTGGGCCATATTTATTTTGACCACTTTCAGATCTCCTTCACCTCAACTTGTAAGAAAAATAAGATCCATTCCCAGCTTTCCCTCTCCCAGTAACTGTTGTTGTAAAGCTAGCGACTAATGATAGCATCAGGTATTTTTGATACAATCCTGTTTGTCTAAAGACAGTGGACAAACTCTTGTTTCCCAAGACACAAAGATGGCATCTTCATACCAGCTCCAAGTCCATTTCTTATTGAATGTTTAGTCTTCACTCTTAGCTTTTCTCAAGGGCAAGTGCTTGTGCTGACTGTATCCCTTGATTTTCTCTCTCTGTTTTTATCAATATTTCCTCTCATTTCTTTCTCCCTTTACTTCTCTTTTACAGATGGTCCAACTACCTGCCATAACACAGCAGTAGGTAATTGCTACAGCTGATATAGAAATATCATTAATCACAAAACAACTGCTTACTCGTGTCTTTGTTTTGAGCTGTATTGCATGCTTGTTGTAGAAGTATTGTTTTAACCACCTTCTCATAGGGTACTGCAAGGAAGTTTAGCTTAACACATGAACTATATCCTTATTTCAGTTTCAGTTTCATCCCAACAAAGTCTAAAATACTAACACTGAAAAAAAAAAAAAGGAGAGAGGAGACAAAAGGAAAAGTAATTAACTGATTGGATGCAATGGCATTTTAACTACTGTAGGTAAGTGATGATTTTCACATCAACCTAAAACAATTTTACTGACATTCTTAGAATTTTTCTTTGCTCAGTCTCATTGCAGCAATTCAAAGGAGATGGCTTTGGGATTTGTCTTTTTTTATCTTTTAAGAAATATTAACGTTCTTGTTGAAATACTTTTCATTACAGACATTCATTACTTAATATTCTTTTAGCAACCTTGAATTCCACAGATCCAAGATACTGACAGGCTGAAATCCTATTCACGATAATTATCCCAATTGTATCCTCTATCTCATTTTATTTATTTGGACCAGAACCTTAGCAGACACCTTACAAGAGGCAGTAGATTTGACTAGATTTTTCCTTAGAATTATAAAGTCAAGATGTGTCTCCTCTTTTACAAATTTCTTGAGTGATTTTATACCTTTCTTTTGTACAGGTTATTATCACACTTTTTTCCTTTTTTTTTCTTTTTTTTTGAGGAAGATGTAAACTTTTCCCATTTTGGATAGCAGAGTTTCTGCAAACTTCACATACTCCAGAAATTCATTGACATCCTTAAATTAATCACAAATAGAAAGGGTCATTCAGGGAAGCTAGACCTGGTAAAGAGCTTGTCTGCTGCAGATGTTGGTTATACACCAGGTCAATTTTCAACTGTTTTGTGGTTCAGAGTCCGTATCAGGGCCACCATCAGCATTCTGTGTTTACTGCATTAGTATGTGTTGTAGACCCACAGCAACAGATCTGCAGAGCAAAATCTTTAGTGCCAAGTACCCAATGTCCACACTACACACATTGTGGGAGTGGGTGGGAGGGTCACTTTGGATGACTTCCAGTCTGACCCTATGAACTGAAAGCCCTTTGGTAGGTGGAGCGCTCTGAGTCTTTGGGTTGGGTATCGCCAAGAAGGAATCAATTTCACATGCTCAGCAAATGTTGACGTTAAGACCAACTAGCAGGAGACCTTGCTTGAAAGCATGCTTCTGAGTGCAACCAAGTGCCAGTGTAGATGCATCCTGTGTGAGATCCACTCATTCGTATTGTAACTGTGTTTGCTTTTGGGGCAGAAACCAGATCTTAAGACCATGCCTTCAACCCTCTCCATTCTGGGTGGCAAGTCAGTTACCAGAGCACAAAACTATTACTGTTCTCATCCTGGAGCCAGTAGAGCATGGTCATCACATATTAATTGCCTGTTCCTGGGCAACCTGCTCTAAGTGGCCCTGCTTGAGGAGAAGGGTTGGACGAGATGCCCTCCAGAGGTCTCATCCAACGTTAACCTTTCTGTGATTCAGAGATTCAATTATTGGTTGTACTGCATTCAAGCTGATATTAGTTTGCCCTCACCTTTGGATATTCAGACCCATGCTATGCGTTTCAGAACCCGGTTCCCTATCCCACCCCCTCAGATTTCTCTCCATTCACAAACTTCATCTGAAACCAAGCATGCTGTTCAGTTTTGGATCAGTTATTCTCTGGCCCGTTTTAACAGTCTGGAGTACTAACTATCTGCTC